CTTGCTCTGCCCGCGCCCATCTTCGTTTACATCAGTATTTTCATAGCACCTGCTGTCGTTATACGCTAGCAAGCCGTTTTGCCAACGTGTGCCTTAGATTCTGAATCTGCAATATGCATCCCCTAGGGAGGTAGCAAAGCACAATGGAAAAAGCAACAATTTCAGGCTCTCCCAATAAACACCGTGATAGCAGTGCAACACCTTAATATGAATCGAAGCTCTGGGGATCGTGAAGGCACCTGAAAAGCTACTTGAGAACTAAACACCAGTGACAATTCTCAATTTTATGGCGGTTAGAACTGGGCATACTTCAATCTTTACTCACTCACCGAGTGGAACCCTTTACACAAGAAAGGTTCAACCTGAAGCTAACAAGATGTGAAGAGACAAGCATTATTTGTTTGCTCTATTTCACATACAAATATACAGCACCTGGGATCTTTAGAATACAGTAGCTATTTTGGAATGCATTTGCCACAGGAAATAAATGCATTGAGCATTTTTACTTTAGAACAAGCTGTAAGTTGGTAATGTGGGGCTTAGTTGAGAAAATGGCTTCTCTGTTTCCATGGGGATAGTACAGCAGAGCCAACTGACTCCCATTCAGGTGTTTTAAATCTTGCCCCAATTCCTCTACTCCCTGCCAAGTAAACAAGTAAACACAGCACACCCATCATAACAGAGCAGAGCACTGCCTTATTTAAGATGTTCTTACATTTAGACTAGTCAAATACCAAATAATGCTCCAAGTGCAAACCTTTTCATTAAAAGAAAAATACAGAAACTAGCTTCTTTCTACACCCTTTACAACTATAATCCTTCTAGCCTTTTTTTCATACTATCTTACAGAGCATCTAAGAGCTGTGAGCTCTCTCCTAGCCCCCTTTAGATGACAGCATCAGGGCAGCAGCAGGTGCAGCAGCAAGAGAGATGCTCAGTTCTCTCAGACCCAAGTACCTTGTCTCAGGAATCCAGCATCTTTGTGCCTGGACCAATTCTCTAAGGAAGTCTTCAAAAACAGAAGAGCCCCAAAGCCTGGTCAGCAGCCATCTCTTCACCAGGTAACAACATTTCCTGTATGAAACAGTTTGAAATAATAGAGAATACAGACCAAGCAAGAAGGACAAATCAGTTCCGTAGCATGAGTTGTTTACTTAAGTTCTCCACTCAAAAACTGAAACAAGTGTCCCCTTAGGCTCAATATTTAAAATAAACCAGAACTATCAGCCATTCTGCATAGTGTTTATTTAGAAACAAAAACATTGCATCTGATCACATACAAGTTTTGATCCAGCAAACTGAGATTTATATAATTTTTTCTTTTTTTTACAAAAAATACATTTTAACAAGTAAATAAAAACCATTTCCATTAGTCCACTGTTCTTCAAAGTGTAAATGTACAGTGTAAATTTTCCATTTTCAATATAGACATATGCTATATTTTACCAGTCATCTCTAATAAAATCAACTACAGAATCTGATGAAACAATAAATAATAAATTGAAAAACTACACACCAATAAATGGAAAATATAAACTTTTTAAAAGTCATACAAACAGTTATATTACACCCACCTCTTCAAAATCAAACATTCAATTTAGCCATTATAAAGTACAACAGTATTGTGTTATCCTTATTGGCATAGTAAGAGAATAGACAGAATCTAAAAATTGAAATAGTCTCAGCCTCCATTGAAAGAAACTGAAAGGAACACAGTCCAATTCAATCAGGGCAGTAACAGTGCAAGAGCCTTTATATATATGTTAAAACAAAAACAACAACAAAACTCAAAAATGCTTCCCAGGATTATACATGAAGGTTGTTTCATGATTAAAAGGAAAACAAAAACAAAGCCTTTTTATGTTTCTTGATTACTATTTGCATGTGTTACTGTTTGTGAATACCATCACAGATGAAAGGAGGATATATTGCCTTTGCCAGCCCTCTTCTCTTTCCTGCTAACTTCAGAAAAAAAGAACATGCAATTGGCTGAGGAGATACTGTCACTGCTTTAACATTTTCTCTCAGTACCATTTTTTTCAAAAGGTTTTGCCTGAGTATTAGAACATACCACAAGTGGCTTAAGAATCACAATAAAACCAGTTAACAAAGAGTCACCTAGTTTGCCTTTAATAAAAGCTGTCTAAACTTTAAGACAACATAAACAAGTTGCATTTGAACATTTTCAGCTTTAGCTCACTTCAAAGTCATTCAAACCACAGATAAGAAAACGTGTGTCCTTTCGAATTACTTCTGTTTTGAGTAATTAAAATCTTCAATTTGGGAACCTCAGGCATTCATAGACAGCATGGTGCTCTCTGTTTCAGAAACCAAGGTTCCCATCAATCTCACCACCATTCCATCCTAGCCTGAAAGACTCCTGATTATGTTTAACACTGCAACAATTTGTGTTGGGAGGAGATGTAGCAAATACCTCCTAGGCATTTGCCAACGTGGCAGAACTTCTGGTTCAACACTGCTTTTCTGGGAAAATGACTTTATGTCTTGAGAAGTGGTATTTCGAGGCAAAGCAGAGGTCCCTAGGAATACTGCCTAGCTTTGTGTACGTTGTCCCATTGTGCTCTCTTCAATGGGCCACCAGGATAACTTCCACTCCACCAGCTGCCACTGCCTTGGAAGAAAGCTGGGAACAGCCCATAGGTAGCATGTGGAAACAGACTGTTGAGCCCACATACAGGTTTGTATTTGGATTGGTGAAAAAACATTGCTGTGTTCAATGGGAAATACAAGGTACAACTGTACATCCTCCTGCCTGCAGTTACACAGAAGCAGGTATTTAGGCCTAGGAAACAACCACCACCAGGCAGCAAGGACAGAATACAAACAGGCATGTGGTTCCCAACACTGAAGAGGCCGAAATATCCTTGGCACATTCCATGAATTTGTTTATGCTGCAGAACTATCTATGGATGACATTCTTGAATGACAACAAGTGCCTGTGACTTCCAAAAACTCTAAAGGAAGACAGAGATCATCAATTCTCAGGATAAAGCCCTTAAAGGTCTTTCGTTTTTTGGTAGTACAACACAATATTATCAATATGGCCACAATTTTTATCTACTAGTTAGCTTTCTATCTTATTAATGCAACATACAACATTGCTAATAGCAAAGAAACAATACTGTAGTTTACAATAACAATATTGAGGTTTGTTCTGAGAAGGAAATAAAGGAAGGTATTTTTCTTTCTTTAAACATATTCCACTGCTTATTATTTTGGAGGAAGAAAATAATGGCAAGTATTAATGCTTATTTAAGATCCAAAGTCAACCAAAAGGCTTCTGTAGAAAACTATTAAGATTCCTAATAATAAAAATATTTGCAAAATTTAATTACAAATACATTTTAAAAGCAAAATTCTTAATTAAGTACATCAGGTTAGTCATATCAGTATTATTCCTTTAAGAGGAAGTTAACATAACACCCACTGCATCTGTGGGAACAACTAAACATACAGAGTATATACAGTTATTGATCAAGTGATGTCAAATATATAAAGCAAAGAGGCAGTATTTACAATTTGGAACCTACACTAAGGTTATAATGGAAGATGAAGCAGGAGTCTGCTAATACCTTGAAGTATTAAGTACTACTGATTTCATGCATTTGTTCTACAACTTGTCCTAAAATCTCATCTACTACATCAATATCATAATTTACTTGCTGCAAGTCTAGATCAGGCATGATTGTAGTCAAAAGTTGTCCAACATTCACTCGAAGGGAGCGTAGTTTCAGGCTGCAAGAAAATAATGAAGTATGTTTAGATGTTGATCATGTTCAAATACAAAATAATTTAACTTCACAAATAGCTTTATTTTCCAAACTGGAAAAGCTTACATCAGTTAACAGAAGTGATGCAGTTAAAGCTACTGTGAGATAATTTCACAACCCACCAATTGTTCATAGCTGAGCCTCTCAAGTTTTAGTTTTGAAGGTTTATAATTCCTTAACTTTAAACAAATACTTGAGAGGCCAAGAGACAAACTAAACTCCCCTTTTCCTCAGCATGGATTACAAATATTTTTTAAAATCTTCAAGTTAGTGAAGAAGCACTGGCACAATCCTTTATCCCCCACCACTTTGTTTGTTTAGTGTCAACAACACTAACACCAGTGCCTTTATACATTTAGAAGCACAACTCATACCACCTGTGGGGAACAAGAGAAAAACGACCAGCAGGAAGGCAAGAAAGTAGAGTCTGTCCAAAAGCTTGAAAAATGTAAAGAGCAAGTAAGGTAGGAGCTACAGCACAAGGAAGTTACTATTTGTCTTTTTGCTTTCTCCCTTGGTTCTGCTACTCTGTCCTCTTCCTGGTCAAATTGCTTCTAGATCATCCATCCCTTCTGGAATATTTCCTTCCACGATCACATCCCTTACAGCCTGCAGCAGCTGATCTTCACAGTGCCATCATTCCCAATAGCACCTGTGAGTGGCCTCCATCACAAGCAGCACATGTATTTGCCAATTATTTTGGGACAGACACATCAGAAGCCATAGAGAGAAGATGAAACACTGCTAGATGAAGGGGAGACTGAATCACAGAATGAATTAGATGGAAAGGGGTCTGTGGAGGTCATCCTGTCAGTTCCTCCTGTCTCCCTCAACACACCTTCTGGGCAGGGCTCCATCAGGTTGCTCAGGACCTTGCAGAGTTCTGAAAACCTCCACGAATGGAGATGCCACAGTCTCTCTGGACTCCCATTCCAGGGCCTGATTACCCTCCCTGTGAACACTTTTTCCCTCCCATCAAATCTAAGCAAAGTCTCTGCTGTGCCCATAATGGAGAGTCAGGCTCCCTCTACTCCCTCCCATTAGGCAGCTGAAGCCGCCTCTTCAGCCTTGGCTTAAGGCTATTTCCCTCAGCTTCCCATTTTACACCATGTGAACCAGCCCCTCTCCAGCTTGGCACTCCATCCTCTGAACTTGTTGCCATAGCCCAATGTCTTTCTCATATCAGGGTGCCCAAAACTGTGCATACCGCTTTGTATTTGGTCTCACACAGGCCTAGGCAGAGGGGAAGAGTCACTTCCTTAAACCTCTTGCCGAGACAGCCCAGCATGCAGCGAGCCCTCGCCACCGCAGCGCGCTCTACGGACTCACGTCCGACTCGCAGCGCGCGAGCGCCCTCAGGGCCTCCTCTTGCAAAGCTGCTCTCCGCTGAGCTGCCTCCAGCCTGCACAGCTGCTTGGGGCACTTCCAACCCAGGCGCAGAACTCTGCCATTGCCTCTAGTTTCCAGAAGTTTTCTTTCAGCTCACTTCTCCAGCTTGCCGCAACAGGCACCCTTCCCTCCAGCACACCAAGAGCTCCTTCCAATCTGGTACCATCATGAAGTTGCTGGGTTGACCTACCCCATCATCTAGGTCACTAGACGATACCCCATCATCTAGGTCACTAAGTCATCATCTAGGCACTAGAGGTATTTGCCAGTACTGGCCCCAGTAGGGGCCCTGACAGACGTCAGTAATACCTGGCTGCCAGATGGCCTTTATGTTATTGTTCAGAGCCATTTATGCGCTGAAGTTCAGCCAGTTTTCCAGCCCACCTATTGAAACCATACCTCATATAATTGGCTATAGGGATACTATGGTGGACCACGCTGAAGGCTTTGTTAAAAATGAAGATCTCCCCTCATCCGCAAGGCCTGTCATCTCATCGCAGAAGGCAATCAGGCTGCAGAAGTACAATTCGCCCTTGGTGAATCCATGCAGGTTGTTCCTAGGCACTGTGCCATCCATCATGCGGCTGGACAATGCTTCCAAGGGGATTTGCTCCACGGTCTTCGAGGTTACCCTGAACAGCTTGTAGATCTTCCATTCTGCTCTTCTTGAATATGGTGCTTTTCCCAGGCACTAGGGATCTGAATTGCTTGCCACAACCTTTAAAGGTGTCATTGCACAGCCAATTTGCTACGAACTTGGTCAGCTGCCTCTTATGCATTTTACCTGGTCCCAAGGACTTTGGCATGTTCCAGTGTGCTTAAATGCTCCGTAGGCTCAGTTTCAGTCTTCCTACAGGTAATACTTCAGTCCCTCACACTACTACTAGGTTCAGAGATCTGTGAAACCAGGGGGCAAATATTACCAGTAAAAAGTAAGCTAAAGATAATGAGTGCTCAAGTCATTTCCATGTCCTTTGTCGCTATGGCTCCTGCCCAATAAGCAACAGGACCACATTTTTCTTACTTTCCCTTTTGCTTCTGCTGTGCTCACTGGAGCCTTCTGGCTGCCTTTCACAACTCTTACTAGTTCTAACTCCAGCTGACCTCCGGCCTTCATCTCCATCCTACCTGCCTAGGCAGTGCCTTTATATTTCACCTGAGTAGCTCACACTGTTTCTGTCTCACGTGTGTACTTCCGTGTGTTTGATTATTAAGCAGGAGCAACAAGCTCCCAGTGTGCAAGTTTAAACACTCATTTAGTTCAAAGATTTACTGTGAACACAACTTAGCTTCAGAGTGATAGCTGAGCAATCCTAAGTGCTTAAAGGTTGTATCACTTATAAAAAGCAAAAGTTTTTCAGCAGAGTACTAGTTGTCATGCAAGAAAAGCAGAATGCAAAAGTGAAGTTCATCTACACAGAATAAGCTACTGATCCCCCTCTCTTCTTCCCTCCTCCCTCCCTATTCTGCAAGTCACATCCAAAAATCATCGTGTAACATTTTTGATATTCTAAAAAAATGCCAGTATGGCATTTAGTTATGTAATGGCCAATCCTGATTGCACAGATAGATTTTTTTAAGTCAGTTTATAAAAAGATGAAATGATGAATTTTGAGTTTGGGGGTCATAAAAGGCAGTAGAAAATAATTCCAAGCACCACATTTTATTTTGTAATTATCACACATGGCCTTTGTCAAGGTTTTTCAGATACAATCAGCCAGCCAAAATCTTGCTTGATCTAGTCTAGAAAGAACAAAAGCGATACCTTTCTCCATCAGAAAAATTTACCGAGTCTTCTACATTACTGGTTGTAGAATCATTTGCGTGTGCAACTGCTTGGGGAATTGAAGCTTTTAACTGTGCGACTTCTGCTTTGAGCTCTTCACACTGACAGGCAAGTTGATTTTTTTCCACTTCTAGTAGTTCAACCTATCAAGCAAATCAAAATAACTAGTTTTATACAAATAAAATCATAGTAAGTGTGACAAAAATTTAAAGTATTCAGCTTTATTAACAAAGTTAACAAGTTTGACATACTACTTTATTTAAGGCATGGCAACACATTCAAACTGCTTTAAAATAACCAGACATCAGCTGAACCACTCTGTGCACGCTTCACTCAGGCTGAATCAGATGAATCTGTCTCAAGGTGGCTTGTTTCTATCTATGGAAGCAAAACAAGTTCTTACGTGAATTCAGTAATCCCTCTCCCTTTTAGGTGCCTTGATTAGATGATAGACCAAATTTCACCATGTGATACATCATGTATTATTAGAACAGCCATAAAACATTCATTTAACAAGAGAAACATACCTCACTTTTATATCTGTCTCTCTCAATGCTGCATTTGTCCAGTTGCCTGAAAACATCATCCAGCTGCACAGCGATTTCGTCCACCTCATTCTTATTTCCACCCTCAGCACAGCTGGTGCACTCAGTTTTTAAGGTCTGCAGAGTACTGCATTGCTCCTTCAGTTTTGCTATTTCTTCTAAGGCCTGTTCATACAGAACAGTCACTTCACCCAAACTTCTCTCGTGAACATTTCCTTCTTCAAATGGAAGAATCGTCTCAGTTGACTGATGGCACATTTCTTTTTTCACATACTTATTATTCATTTCTAGTATCATTTGCTCCAGTGATTCCACTTGACTGGTTAACACTTCACACTTGTTTTGGTATGTTTCTTTTTCTTTGTTTACTAAGTGCAGCTGATTTTTCAGTTCACTCAGGGCATTTCCAACATTCGCAGATGTCTCAGAAGCATCTGGTACATTCTGCGGTTCCGTTTCCATTTCTGACCTGGGCACTGGAATAGCCATATCATCTTCCACCTCTTCCTTTTTAACGACTAATTTGGGGAGCTCAGTCTGTGTCGCTGAAGTCAACTGGTCACTTTTTGATTCTGAAGCGGTTGCACTACAAGGTTCTCTGACGTTGCACTCCTCTTCCTGCTTCCCTTCCTGATCCAAATTAACACATTCAGCTTTTATGACAGGAACGTCGGAATCTGCTGAAGGTTTTGGAGTACTGCTCTCCTCTAAAATGATGACATCTTCATCATCATCATCATCACCACCACCATCAGTGTGACTACTGAATGTTTCAGTTAACCGGGGTGTCTTTAAAGTCACAGATGTCAAACAATTCTGTGCCCTTCGTTTAAGACTGAGGAAAAAAAAACATTAAACTGATTATTGGACTTGTTCAAGTAAACTAATTTGTTTTAAACTATGAGTATGTATTTTCTCCATAATCACTGAGCAGCTAGAAAGAGATGCGTCTCACGTAATACCTTGAGATCAGTAGTCAGTCCTCTAAAAACAGTGGCTGACATCCACACAGTAGATTTTTTTTTCCTTATCACAGACACTGAATCTCTTTCAAACTAATGTGTTAAAGTAACAGTTCACCTGTAATACCGGTCAAGGAAAACATACTACAGAGTGAAGCTAGCATAGAATCTCTTCTTAATCTTGGACAAACCCATTAGATTCTCTTGACAGTACACAGCATTTTTGATAAAAACACTGTGAAATGCTGAAGTGAATGTAAGATACCATTAGTTGATGTGCTCCTATACTACCAAAAGTGACATTTCTATTATGGCAGCTACAGCCTAAAGATAGGTCTACATTCAACAATCTACTTCTCATTAGCAAATTATTAATTTTAGAGATAAATAGGAGTCTAGTTTCTATAGGTTTACTAACCTGTTATCAGAATCTGCTGAAGATACTGATCTATTTGAAACAAGTAGAGGTCTTTTGACAGAAGCATTTGATGTTTCTGGTAAAACTGATCTTGGAGGAACAGTTTCCTTTCCACTCACAGCTGAGAATGTTTTAAAGTCTTTACTTGAAGAAACTGGAGTTTTTAAAAACATTTCGTTACAGAGCTGTAAGACAAAATTGGAAATGGAAGAGAGAGACAGGTATTCGTAAATAATTCAGAACAATTTTAAATAGCTCTGCCAACTATCTGAAAAAAAAAAAAATATACTGACATTTCTGCTGTATATTGCGAGGATTGTCCAAAAAACAATCTCCTTGAATTTCCAGCTCAACTTCTTTTTTTTCCCCAATAAAAAAGGACTAACTGGGCTCCTTGTTGCAAACCCCAGTCTTATTAGCTTAGTTGTCACCAAGAGGCCTACTAAAGTGTGTCCGTGTTTTCTCTGATACATCCTTTCCATGATGGCTTATGGCATACACCAAAAATTCACACAAGTTATTGGATGGTAACAAGTTTTGTACCATAATTACTGACTTTTGGCAAGTTTCTCAGAGACTTAAAGCACTGTACGCACCAGCAGCACACACCTCCCCCTACAGTGTTACTGTCATGGGAAAGCAGCTTTCTAATTTTACAAGCCTTTCTCCAGAACTAGATATTTTAAAGTACCATGAAGAACCTGGGGAGGAGCTTTCCTTGAGCTGTTCTGTATCTCTAGGTCTGCCCAAAATAAGAGATAACCATTTCTGTCATAGCTGATCATACCTAACTCTTTGTCCAAAATGAATGCTTCTTACCTTTTACAGATGACCTTTCTACTTATCTATAAAACCAATGGCAGAGAAATAAAAGCAAATGAAGTAAACAGATTAAAACATAATGCGCAAAACTTTTGTTCCAGAAACCTAGTAATCTGATGTGAACAAGTTATTTTGAAAGCAACTTAAGCTATATCACACTCAGGAAATTTGATTCCAAATTACAATCAACATTCTCTGAACTAAACCACTCTGACTTGCATCTTTATTTCAGGAGAATCTGAGGGCCTCCTTGCAAAACAAGCTCTCAAAGTACAGCTACTACAAACTTCTCCTTACCCTCCTTTTACTCTTATTTTTCCTTTTCTAAGGCTAATTTAACATCTTTCTCTACGAGAAATGCACTTTTAGTAATTAGATGTCATGTCATAAGAAAGAAAGAAAGAAAAAAAAAAAAAACACACCACCAGCAACAAAAAAAAAACAGTGATTGACACTTTCTCTAGTATTATTTTGACTTCTCTGAGGGCTTTTGCCCCTTACACTTTTTCCTATAGGAGGCACCTGCCACCATCAGGCAGCAAAGATGTGGCCTTTGGTTTACTGTACAGCCGTCAAAACAGTCTGTGCATCAAGACAGTTGACCGTGAGCTGAAGAAAACTGTACCTCAGGCTGGACTCTTTGCATACACTGCCTAGTCACGTTCATGAAAGTTACCTGGTGGCTGTACTCCAGTCGTTTCTTCAGTTTTTCCCTGTCTCTACACAGTAGCAAGAAAAAGAGAAGTTAAATTCAAAATGCAAATTATTCATACAAACTAACCAACCCAATGAAAGCAAACACAGTAGTCTTCGTCTTGCCTAGACACATAAAAATCACTGAATAACTGAGGTTGGAAGGGACCTTTGGAGATCCTCTAGTCCAATCCTTCTGCACAAGCAGAGTCACTTAGTGCATATGGCACAGCATCACACCTAGGCAGGTTCTGAGTACTGTCAAAGAAGGAGACTTTGCAGCCTCTCTGGGCAACCTGTTCCAGTGCCCTGTAGCTCTGATAGATATATTATGTTTTCCTGACTGAAAATTACCACACATGTATAGCTTAATGTTAGCTTAACTACAGACACAGATTCATTGAAAAATTGTAATAAAAATGTACTAGTAAGTGAACCAACGTTTAGGTATAAATGGCCACGTCGTTCTCTTTCCAAATACCTTAGTTAAGAACCTTCTTACTCTTATACAAATGTGTGAAGGTATCCAGCTTTTTCCACATCAGCCTTGAAAATACACATTTCTTAGACAAGGGCTCCTAAAAACTCTGGTAATTTGCTTCTCTGTAATATCCAAAACTATCCTCATAATCCCTTACAGGTTTGAAATATTGCCTCTCTGAGAACGGTACCTGAACATCAGCTGACTAGCTGTTAAATGCTAAGAGTTCCTTTTAGCTATGACTTTCATAATACTGATTTAAGAAAGCAAAAGAACATGAGTTAGAGATAAACTTGAAAAAACCTCTGGAATGTCAACACACTAATAACAGAAAGAAAGAACAATCCTATTCATCTGTTCCCTGCTATGATCAGATTTAGATTTTAGGAAACTATCTTGTGACTAGATACTCCCAGAATGGTTGCAACCCTTTTGCAAAGGGTTGTTGAAAGGGTGGTTAATTTTTATGTTCAGATTCCAGTGTAGGCACACAACACTCGTGTACTTACTTTTTTTTGTAAGTTTTTTCGTAAGTAGGATGTATTACATCATCATCTTCAGGTTCTTCTGGCACATTACAATTCCTGATTTAAAGAAAAAAATAACAAGAAAGAGCACAACATATGTGCTAGCACCAAGCAATTACAAATTAAAAATCAAAATTTATATATTTATCCAAGTTTAATTTTACCGGAATTGTGGGTCAGGATTCAGAGAGCAGTACCACTTATCTGGCAAATGCTCTATTCCATCTGGCAGCTTCCGCCATTTCAGACATCCATCACACTGCACCCAGGTCTGGTCAGGCTGCTTTCTGTAACGAAAAAAAAATATATCAGAACTTTCACATGAAAACATTATTTTCATGAACTAGTGTAGAACAGTAGTAAAACTATATAAAGTTCCTCTATTTAAAAATGATACTTACTGTATCTCCTCAACAGGCAAAGATAAGGGATATTCTTCATTTTTCTTTGTTTTCATTTCATTCCAGTAATCATTAAGTTTTTCTCCTAGTGCTGCTATTGTAAGTCTAAAAAAAACATAAAATAAGTATATATACATATACACTTGCACAACAGTTTGATTTTTAGAGTTTTCTAAAAGCAAAAAGGTAGACATTGTTGGAAGTCATATTTATTCAAAGGGTTACTAGAAATAGGAGTCGGGGAACATACAAGTGCATATTTTTTTTCCAACTGCTGTCAAGAGCGCTTGACTCAACACTGTGGGGTTATTATGCCCATCATTGTGGTGTGCTGGCTGCGTAACCAGAACGTGGGAGTCAGTCCCACACCTGCACTCACCCCCCACCACTCGAACAAGTGCTTGTGCAGCGAACTAACCTGGCCTATAAAGTTTTAATCTAGGTCTCCTCCGAGCCCAGGGCATGAATTCTGGTGCCAGAACAAGAAAGTGAAACAAGGGCAGAAATGAAGAGCAAAGCACAGATTGGTTTATTTCTCTTCTGGAGAAGGGAAAGGGGCAGGTTATCTTTAACTGATCATGAAATTACAGCAGTATTTTCACGTTTCTAAATTGGGCTGGGAAAGTATCTTTTTTGAAATCCTGCAGTGTTCCTTCTACAAAGACCTCTGAAAGAAAAGATCTTTCAAGTACAGTATTTCTACGCCCACATTGCAAGTGTTTTTAGAAAGAAACAAATAAAGCATTCAGCGCTCACTGTGCCAGCCTGTGGGAACACGGCACCAAGGCTGGATAACACAAATGACTCTACAGCATTCCTCATCCCTCCCCTCTGCCAGGGGAACCCTTAGCACAGCCGTGCAGGAAACAGCTTAGGGAACACTTTAATTGGGAAAAAACAAACACCAACAACAAGCAACAAGAATTGTTTTCTAGTTAAACTGACTCTCTGATCTGCTTTACTGTGTTTTCTGAACCACAGCTCAGACAGCAGCACTGTGGCAGAAACCTCTGTGCTACCTGAACCTGGCAGTACCATGGCAGCTATCCCTGCCAAAAAAGGCCACCAGCTGAAGGGCAGAACATACAGCCTGAAGAGGCAGAGACTTCTCCTGCCAAAGTCTACCCCACCTATGTCTGCAATTCAATACCCAGCATGTACAAGTGCACACTGAAAATAAAGTGCGGGGAAAACAGAGAATTGTCTCCTTGTTGTCATGAGACAAGGGATAAGCAACACAGCAAGGAGCTATTCTCACAGTCCGCATCCACATTTTCTCTAAGCATCTCCATTCAAATTGCTTAGGTAACTCACTCCAACCTTTCATTGCCCCAAAAGTCTCTCCTTTCCTTCTTAAAGCCAGCACAACTAATTCAAAGCAGGCGAGCAAGAACAAGCTACCAGACTGAGATTCACCAGGCTTGAAAATAATTTTCTTTGATTATTTTTCAAGTCAGGGTAAACCTTCCATCTTGTTCACTGTGACTACACAAAACACTGCACTAGGTACTGATTAAAAGGATGTTGCAAATACGTGAAAGAGTGGCAACTCCGAGTTAGAAATAATGACTGGAACCAAGCTGTGTCCCAAATGCCAGCTGCCTTGAGCTTGTGTGGTGTTTTACATGCTCTATCAGATAGGAAAGGACTTCAGGACAGTCAAGCTCAGTCAGTGTTAGTAGGGACACCGAAAAAAGGGTTCCAAAATATCCAAAACCACTTTTGTAAGAGCTCAAATTATATATATATATATATTTATATACACGTATATATACACACATATATATTCACACACACAAATATATTATAAAAAAACCACAGTGCGGGATTCATCTCTAAAAATTGTAAATATCTGCTACCCAAGTCCACATATTCTCTGCATGATGAACGCAATGAGACGAGTACAGATACAACCCCAAAGAGGAGGTGGGCATGAAGATTAATGATAGGATGTTAGGCATCAGTGACTACTACTTACAAAACAAACAAAAACAAACAAGAAAACCAAAAATCTTTGCAGACATATTTCACAGTGAAAAACACTATTCAATACAAATTCTACGTAAAATACATATTCACCTGTACTCATTTGTGTAGTCGAAGTCTTGCTTGTTATGAGTTGGCTTTAGGAAGTTGCATTCGATAATCCCAACTACACCAACGCCCATATTGTTTGCCTGTAAGAAATTAAAATATGCATATTCTCTACTAAAACTGCAGGAGTTTGCCAGGAGTATTACAAAATGTATACACTAAATAGAAAGAAAGAGAAAAAAAAAAAAAGCATATGTACTATGATTCTTATCTCTAAAGAGAAGCTCAAGAAAATCCTCCAGAATTAAAACAAACAAATGAACCAAAGAAACTTATTTTTGCTCTAAAAGATACACTTATGCCTGCATTTTATGCATTAAACTTGGTATCAAAAGGAAAGTATTAAACAACTACATACAATTTAGCAACTTTTAGTTGACACACAAACTAAGAAAAAAAAAAAAAAGTTTTATGAAAGCATCCTAGCTCTTTTTTTCCTTAAATTACCATGTGAATGAAAATGATTTTTATATATGCAAACATTTTTTCGGCTTTAAATTCCTACCTTTAACTGACAGCCAACTCTTTCATAAGCTTTGATGAGTCTATTTTTATGGTACATCATTATTCCATAGTGGTCTTTGTTTTTGCAGTTAAATCCAAAAGTAATTCTTACTGTTTTAGCCTGTTTCTAGAGCTTAAGGAAAAATCTGGTTAATCATAGGTAATACAAAAGAATTATTTATCTGATCTGAATTATTTATTCTGATCTGGGTCTCAATGTTTTTTTACACTGAGATGATTCATTTCCTCATTAAAAATAAAAGTAAATAAATAAATAAAACAGCAACATAGCCAATAAAATACAGACAGCTTACACACAAACTCCCATCACTCCATTTGGAGGGAAATAATGCACATAAAAAGGATACATTCAAAAATTTTGGCCTATATATATCACGCTCAATAAATGCGAGGCTTTTGGAAACCAGCTGCGTTTTCACTTTTTGTCCTCGTAGAATAATCTGCATTCTTGGCTTCAGATACAAAATACTGCAGTAAGCCTACAAAATACGAAGAAATTTCTATTATTCAAACAAATAAGATATGAATAGTTTACAAAACAGATGTTTAGGAAGACAAGTTCAGGTTTTGACTAAAATGTTGTAAAGGCTCTCCCTATTGAGGGCTTAAAAACTTCAAGACACACCTTAAAATAAGAAATGAAAGCAAAAACATTACCTTTGTTGCAAGCTACCGCATTGTTAACCTATCTTCTTATAAGCATGGCAAATATTCTATAGATTTTAATTTATACTTCATTTATGATCATATTTATAGCTTCTGATATTTGAAGTATATTTATGGCTCTAATGAGTCTTAGGATAACTGCAAGATTTAGCTCAGCTAGAGCAACACTTCTGAGTATCATCCAGAGAGTTCACAACTCTGAAGAGCCCTCAAGGATTACGGATCGGTAGCGAATACAGTGGTCTTAACTGGCCTACAGTCATAGCCAAGGTTTTTCTGTGTGCAGATATGCAAAGTAGTTGCTTCCAATTCCTTGTCCTCTTCTTAAAACCTAGAAAAGACATTTTACCAGCCAAAAGCTGTCTGTTTTAAAGAGCCACGTGAGCATAACATCGGTACTACATGCATTTATGCCTGTACTACAAATGGAGTGTTTACTTTGCTTTACAATCGTACACACACCTGTTTTAATTTTTGAAGTTATTCAGTGCATTTCCATCTTGCTCCATAGAGGATTAGTGATGTCGACATTTAACAGCAAAAGTTATTTGCAAGATCATATTTAAAAAAAAAAAAAAAAAAAAGAACCCAAAAAAAAAACCCCGCTGATTTTCTCCTGGAGAAACATGAAAAGTTTATGCGAGTCCACAAAAACATTCCACTCCCAGTTTTCATTAAATGTTGACATATTTCCCTGACATGACAATTCTACACTCCAGTTTCCTGTTCTCAACCATACTTTGTTATACTAAACCAAAACTGAATATACCCCAGCTTCATTAAAAAAGAAAAAATAAAATTGAAAATGATATACATACTCGTAACGAGTAGTCACTTTCTGGAACAATCTGGTCCATTCTCTCTTGTTTTTTGTAGCCTCTTTTTCCTGTTTCATCCAAGTCTTCTGGAATTCTGATGTCGTATTTATCTTTCTCAAAATCAAACTCTGTTTTTTCATTTTTATCTCTAAGAAGTAAAGTTTAAAGAAAAAAAGTTAGCTACAAAACTAACTCTAGAAAGATATTGAGGAGCCCAAAGGACATCAAAGATACAGGAGAAAGGGAATTTCTTTGATTTATACAGTGTTTTTCCTCACAGTTATTCTAAAATTCACATCAATATGTTCATCAGATTCTTTTGGATACCTGAGAAATACAAGAGAAGTGACAGCAGATAAGACATTCATAAATTCTACCTTAATTCTAATTCTGCTCCCCTGGGCAGCTCCTGCAAGCTGGGCAAGGGGGAGGGAAGAGAAAGTGCAGAAGGGAAATGAGGAGCCGCTGCTGCTGCTCCTGCAGCAACTGCTGCTAAAAACAAACAAATGCCATGGACCAGCCGGCCTACCAAAAAAGCCACAATGACCAGCAACAGGCAATTCCACGCCAGGAAAAGACTGGAAATTTTTACTCCTGAAACAATCCCATGGAAGCAAGCAGATAAAGAGAAATCAAAGTAAATGTATGCAGTTATGCTTGTTTTATGGCAACCAAACAGTCGAATACTACCTTAGAAAGGACCAGGTGTCACCAGGGGGACAGAGCTGACTCAAAGATAAAAAGTCAGTCATGTTTGGTTGTACATACATACATTTTTGTTTGAATTTTGTCCTCATAACTTCTGCATAGGTCTCAGGTAACCGATTTCCAATTCATCTCTTAATTTTCCTTTCGACAAAGTGACAATATCTCAGTATCTTATCAAAGCAAAGGCCCTTACATTCTCCTTCCTGCTGCTTTTACACTACTTTACCTGAGAGATTAGCAATACTTAAAGCCATACTACGGTACTGCCATCATATGAGCTTCCTCCCTGCAGTTCCTGGAATCACACTACCAAAACCTTGTACACTTGCATAGCAGAACAGGTAACACAAGACAAATCAGTGAGATGAGAAGCTGGGCCTTCGCTTACCTTCTAAGATTCCAAATGATAATTCTTGTTCCCCTTTTCCCCATGATAGCATCCAGTTCTGCCAACAACTTCTCTTCAGTAGAAAATAGAGAATGTGTTAAGATGGCCTTCAGGTTGTTTTTGGATTCCACTAGATTGCTTATCTGTCGTAACCATCACGTTAAAGAGGATAACTTCTAGTGAAGTACGCTTTCAGGAGACAGATGAACTCCCACAACAGTATCCTGTACTCCTTATGGGCTCTCTCAGCTGCTGCAAACTTGGGAGTTTTAACAAACTACAGCTCTCCTCTCATCTTACAATATAATTAGAGCACTTGTAAGACTAGACAAGGAGATTTTCTTCAAGGATCTTAATATCCAAGCTTTGCACATACACACTTAACATTTCATTCAGAAATCAAAGGATATGTTGGTTGTTGAACGTCACTATGGGAACCATGACGTGTTCTGCCTTCGTGACTTCAAGGTAAGTCTGGGACAACAGGCCCACACTCATTGTTTCCCCATTCTTAGTGAAGACTATGGCATCTTTTCCAAGGCGCATGGACCCTGATTTAAAGCCATTTCCATACAGCCCCACTGGAACACGGCCATTCATCACAGATTTCTCGCTGAAGCCAAAGCTGAAACACAAGAGAATATTGGAAGAGGGTAAAAAAGCTCCATAAAATATATAGAAAAAAAAAAAACCCACACACACATGCAAGACTAATATCAAAATAGACTTGAGTTAATCTCTTTGAGAAATTGGTGACTAATGTACAATTAAGCAACGTACAGTTAGACAGATCCTGAGAATTACAGCTGTAATATTGCTAAAACACATCATAACAATTAAAAGTAAATATCACTTAAGTATAGATCAGAAATATCACCTGTACAGAATTATGCAATAAGCATTTTTAAAGGATTATAATATTTATTATTGGGCTTCATAATAAATACTCAGAAGGGGCCCCTGGCAGAAAAGTTTATGCATTTTCTAAAAAATGACAGAAAAAGAAAAATCTACACATTTGTCATTAATAACTAGATATTACACTCAAAGTAAACCAGATAACTAAGTGGATTTAGCATGCAAGCAATTAATTATATTTTACAGAAAAAGATAACAGATTGAATTCAAACTTGCTCAAGTTTAAACCCAGCGCTTATCTGGAGGCCAAGGAATCCCACTAGTACTAGAAGAACAACTCAACACCATCCTCTTAGCTAACCAAAGAAACAGAACCTGCGTATAAATCAATTCAAACCCTTTAGACTATTCAAAAGGCAGAGAAAAAGTTATCCGTCCCAGAACTTTTTTTTTTTTAAAGTAATTTCTATTTTCCCTTCACCTCTGATAAACTAAAAAAAAAAAAAAACCACCACACCTCACTTCTTAGCTCCTCTAAAGGCACTGCATAAAGTTTTGCAGCATAACACGGCACAGAAAATTAAATGCTAATATGGGAATGGGAATGCTAATAGGAAGGATAAAATGAAATTAGGGGAAAAAATACACTGACAAAGCAGTATCAAAGTTGTGCTAACATCTACCTGTTATAGTATTGGGTCATTATTTACATTTGAAAGTGCTAAGGTAAATTTAGGAGCTTAGTAATTTATATAAGAGGAAAAGGAAGAAGCTGAGCAACAATACATAGAAGTTATAAGAAAAAAATTAAAAGTTATCCACCTTAGCATTTTGTGCAGCTTCTCCGAGTTCATACCATTTCCGTTATCGGTGAACGTCAAGCATATATTGTCATTTATCACCGTTTTGTCTATCCATATCTGTTTAGCACTCACGTCAGGATCATAAGCATTATCTAAAATAAATAAATAAATAACAAAAATAAAAGGAAATAATCAAGAGAATTGCTCAACTTCAGCAATTTAAGTGTGAACATATTTTAAAATGCTTAATTCCAGTGAAGATCCCAGATAGAAAATTTTACAAAGTTATTTAAATGCATATACAGCACATAATAGGACCCTCTCAGGGTCACACAGATAATCGATCTACTTACTTTTAGTCTTGCAACACTACCATGCAACTATATGGGACAGTTGTTCCTAACTCTAGGATGCTACACTTGCCCATATATTTCTTTGGTGCACATGGTGGCTTAACTAGCTCTCTAATCACGAGCTCTCAGTTTTGCATTTGCACAAAAAAACAGTTACTAGTCAGGGTATCCAGTTACGAGGTGGTCTGATAAAGCTCAAAATTTGCCACCATTTTTCAGCTTCTTAATCAGACGTGCAACTTAACAGGAGAAGTTTTGTGCTGTGAGAGAAAATTTTCTCTGATTAGTCATACAATATTAGTCAGTTTGGCACAGGAACAAAAAACCCACAGATTTTAATAGATGTGGTAAAAAAACTTTAAGTCTCCTCAAATCCTATCCTTTTTATAATAGACAGCCCTGAAATAAAGCATTAAGATGAAAGAGCTGCCTCATAAGCAGGCAACCCTCACCTAAATACACCACAAAAATTTCTACAGATATTAGAGACGATAGCAATCTCCTGGCAAAAACTGAGATTGTGATGACTGGTTCAAACATGAAAACAGGAAACAAAATCTACAGGAGTTTCTACTTTCGTTTCCTTACTGCCCAGGGGCTGCTGCAACACTCACTTTCTCACAGCCACCTAAACATCTCTTCTGATTGCCCCTAAGTGGATAGGCTACTGGCAACAGTATAGATCATGGCAAATCACAAATATATACAGCAGCAAAAATATCTTGCCTGCTATGAGCCTTTTTAATTGGGAAATCAGATTTGAAATGCTGAAATACCTCGGGTAATCAACCTCGAAATGCCAAAAAACAAAGAAACCCCAGAAAACACCACCACCACTACCACCACAAATAAACACACACACTCCTCCCCTGCTTGCCTCTCGCCTCCATTCCAGACAGTTCTCCAAACCTGAAATTTTGATTCCATGGAGCCAGGAAGTCAGAGGAAAAAAAATATATATATACTGCGGCTCTGCTACCACTTCATTTCTATATTAGCAAAGTTTTTTCAACCAAACCACATCCTTACTTTGAGGAACCAGCTACAGAAAGCATACTAAACATTCTGTAAGTCAGAAATCAAACAACTCTGTGAGGATATCCAGTTAACAGACAATAAATACGCAGCAATAAATTAAACTGACAAATAAACCCTAATAAAAAAGCAGATGACAGAGATGATAAAGACCTGAGCTATTAAAGCACTGATGACCATTAAGAGACCACTAAAAGAAGACTCAAGTGTAACTTTGAAGATGTTCAATCACAAACTTTGTAACCTAAAAGAACAAAGTAATATTTAACAGGAGTTCTCAAAGAAAGAGCAAATGGGATGCTTGAGGATACTGTCATAGCATCCAAAACTTACTATGGGATGTTTCAAGGAAACATCAAAGTGAGGAAAAGGGAGAGGAAAAGGTATGGGACAACAGAAGCAAGAATAGACAGGTTACAGTGTGCAAGCTGGCTGCATGTTAACCAGTATGTTTGCACAGTTGGTTCCTGTGCCTGACTACTGCATTTTTTGCACCTTCTTAAAGACCTGCAAGCTCTCTACTCTGAGCAGGTGTCTGCATCAGTTCACTCAGACAAATCCAAGTCTGTAAAGAGGATGTAGGAGGAAACCAGAAAGATCTAAGGTCTGGGCCACACACTGATCAAAACAGAAGCAAAACAAAAACTACACACACACGGGTCCGGACACAGGTACTGCAGGTATCCAAGTCTTGGCAAAACACCCAAAAAGATGACTGTGCATGCAAGTTGAGTACGTGACGGTACGTGTATGCTCCACTAGTGAGCTTCAAGCCCGAGCAGCCAGCAAGCAAGAACAGCATCGGCTCTTCCAGGCTGTACACATTCTGAGAGCCGTTCATGTTTATCCAAGTGCTTGCAAAGTCACTGTCTTCCAGTCTGTGATAATCTGTTTGTGGTCAGCTGTGCCTATATTATTTGTAGAAGTGTTTGCAGATCCTTGAAATCTGTACTTGGCCTTAAATGTTGGCTGGACTTGGAAGCCTCCTGCCTTGTGCTTTTCCCATCTGGAGAACTAGGAGAGGAGGGATTCACATGATCCTACAGTCCCCTAGATTTAGGAATTTTTTATAAACTGCATAAAAACAAACCACTAAATCCTGGAAAGCCTCCTACAACAGATATCAGAAATTAAATGCTGTTAAAGAATAAAGTCAATCTGTTGACTTTATTCTGACTGAAAGACTGAAAAAAAGAAGTAAAAATTAATAGCAACAACAGGATCAACTCCTTCCCTTACTTTTTCTGTTTTAATAATGCTTTTCCTTTGGGTAACATTGCCATCAAGTACTCAAGCAAACTACTGATCTACATACCTATGAGTTCTGCAACGGCACTGAAAGGCCAGGTGTGACTGGTAGAGTTGGTGTGCAAGAATTTTGGACAGAGCTGAAATAAAACAGAAATAACAACATTAGTTTATGGTCTTCAACCATCGCAAGCCAGAAAACAGCTCCTTGAACAAAGTAACATTCAAGTTACAGCTTTTTGATAATTTTGTATAAAGTAATTAAACCTACTGTTAGGTACTGGCACACTGATAACTTTTAATGGGAAAATTACTAAAGATGTTTAAAACAACAGAATGATAAAAAACTCAGCCCAGTATCACGGCTTGTTTCTAACATGGGTTATGCAGTCATCCTATCCATCCAGGTGCTTCTTTATCATTACAGAAATCTAAGGAACTATTGTCACATACTAATGCTGGAGATAACAGAAAGGTATCACAGTTACAGTTCAAATCTAGCAGCAGAAACACAAGCTCTCAAGTGTTGAAAATATACATCTCATGCCACGAGTATGAGATTTAATCAAAAAAAACTGAAGGGCACCCAGTGACTTCCAGGCTACAGTCATGGTTCTTTCTGTCTATATTGATCAAAATCTCCCATTATTGGCACCTGTCAGATTCTCTCAACTAGTGGCTTGTGCCCTTGCCAAATCATCAGTGAGGATAAAATGTATGAGCCTGATCACATGTAACCAGAGGAAGGTAGCCACCACTAGGATAAGTATTTTATTTTGCATGTTGTCATCTATTGGGACACATCTTATAGATGCCAGTGACAAAAGCATTCTCAATTCTTTTGTAAGCTTGAATTTGTATATATTCATCTGGAAACCTAGAAAAAACAGAAATAAGCATCCATATAGCATAAGGATTTGATGGTGCAACTTCTGGGGAAGTTTATTTGCTGAAACTGATATAGATGGATGTGCATTACCCTGAATATATCATAATTATACTTTTATGGGGCTTTTAATGCACACATACTGCATATACACTTATACCTTGCCAACATAGTTATGCTGATGACATAAAAAGCAATATATACGAATACATGGCAACACTGGAAATAATTCATGTACAGCGCAGTTTTATTGGAAAACATAATATAATGCATAATATTATATATAAACCAGAAAATGTACACCCCCTCCCCCCCAAAACCTTTACCGATCAACTATACCGACAACTGCTTTCGTAGACAGATCTAAACAGAAATAAGGAATCATTTCATGTCTCCAAGTTCACTTATCAGAGAAAAGAATAATGCTACAACCAAATCAAGTGCGGTGGGCAAGGGATCACAGCAAGGGTAAGGCAGAAGCAACCTTAGGTCAGGGTAAGTTGTTCAGAAAATGCATCCTCATTCTACGGTCATCAGACCACAAGACAACAAATTCAGGTTGCAACTCAATCCCTACATTAAGGCACAGAATATGTATGACTATAAAACCAGGTAGCAATGAAGAACATAGTGTAAAAACTCCAGTTTCATAAAATCTGCTAAATTGAATCTGCCCAAATCACAACGTTCATTCCAAATGCATAACAGTTATTTACAAACAATTCAGAATCCAAGAAGAAAAAGACATCAAGGCATTTACTGGAAACCGCACTACTCCATATGGTGGCACACCATTAAAGGGAACTCTTGTTTTCTTCCCCCACCATACAGTGGCTCAGGAGATCTCAAGGTCCTGCCTGTACTGGAGCATTCCTTCCACTTGAACCTTTCACACTGCTCACAGCCTTTACTCTTTTCTTCCTAAGCCTTATGACCAACTTGGCAAGAAAAAAAAAAGTTTGTTTTTTTTCTCCATCCAAAAAATCCATCCTTTACATAGTAGTTAAGAAAAAAGAGAATAGTGATAGACATTCAACATCTGCTCAACCCTCTGCTAACAGTTCTTTGCAGCTAGTCAGGGAAAGGCTTCAGTTGCACAAGAGGCAGACTGGGCACTCCGGGTTCACTACTAGCTTTAGCATAAGATTTAGGAAAGAGCCCTGTGGGGGTAGTTTTGGAAAGGCACATAAAACTGTGAACCTTCTCTGACCAAGCAATGCCAGTAAAGGAAAAATCCTCATTTCCAACACAGATTAACAAAAAAAAAAAAAAAAAAAAAAAACCAAAACAAAAACAACAAAAAAAACAACGAAAAAAAGAAAAACATTATTTTTCCAGGGAAGCCAAGTGCACATATGCATAGCAAGCAGATGGCTTCCTGGGTTGCCTATATAACCCAAGGCTTCTCCATCCGCCCTTTTACTGCTGCGGGCTACACTGGACTAATGCTGGCAGGAATACTATCTAAAACCTCTTCTATAAACAAACATGGGAATCATGTTGATCATTCTGGATCCATGTTTCAAATGATAAGGTTTTGGAAGGGCTGAAAGATGTTGCACAGAGCTGCTGGAACTTGATTTTGGGCTCTGATCTCTACCTGAGCAAAAGAGAAGAGAGAAATCTCTCACATTCCACACAAGTCTTCCTCACAACACACAGGACCATTCGCTAACAGAAAGCGGTAAAACAAAGACAGCACCAAGCAGGATTGAAAATGGGGGAAGAGTGACTTCCCAGTTTGCCTCAGAGCACACTCAGTTGTCTGCACAGCCACAAGGAAACTGCATTTCATCATGAATGTTTGAAGCCAGTGCTGTCCCCTTCCCTGCCTCCAGCTATGCTTCAGCCAGCTCACAAACTGTACCTGTTCGTGCCTGATGGAAGAACAGAATGGCTAAGGTTAAGAAAGGGTTAATGTCAGGGAGAACAATCCCTTTTTAGTATGTTAGCAGGACTGCAGCAGAGAATCCAAAGCCAATTGCATTGCTCACTGGACCTAGAGTATTTTACTAGTATGAGGTTTTGGATTTGCAGCTTCATTTTTCCCCCCGGAGAACAAGTCCAGCAAAACCCCTTTTGAGTATACAGCTTACCTCTCCCTTCCTTCAAACTAATCCTATAGTTTGTATTATTAAAAGACGCAGCAACACTAATAGAAACATATTCTACACCTGTAACCGCCAGTTATCTAAAAACAAAGCAGCTTGTGTCTTATTGGAGGAAGATCTCACTGTCACTCTCCTTCAGTCAGTTGTTTTTCCGCCTTCCTTCTGCTCCGAGCGCTGTCACAGTCCTTGTCGTTCCACCCTTTCTGAACTGTTCTCAGGCCACAGTCTGGCCAGGATTTATTTCTGTGGCAGCGACAGTGCCAGCTCCAGCAGCGACAATCCCATCTGGCTGCTTGTTTCTTGACATGCTCCTCTTCCCTCCTCTCTGCCAGCCACGCTAGCACTGGTACGTGACTGAGTAATGAACCACATAAGGGAGATGATCCAAAATAAGATTTAAAAAAAAAAAATGTATTTTTATTTTTAACATGCATCAGTTCTATGATCTGTCTCATGCAACTGTGCAAAAAATCTACCCAAGCAACAGAAGGAAACAAATGTAAGGGTGGGACTTAGTTACCAGGCCTGTTCAAAATATCTATGCTGTTCATACATGTTCCTAAATCTAATGCAAACAGTTTGGCGAAACGCAACTGTATTTCCAAAGAACAGCTGCTGACAGAAAAGACTGGGGCCATGACTGTCTGCCCTGGAAAGCTGAGCCTCTTCACTGTGGAAGATGACCTGTTTGAGCACTCTATCAGCTGCTTCATTTCTTTATTCAAAAAACTACAGAGAAGCACAGCTTCGACTGCAAACAGACATTTTTCAATTATAACGAAACAACAACAACAACACTGTATCCTAAAAGCCTAAAAATAATTCATAAAGTTACCAGTAGCACCTATTTTAGTTTAGGTTTCTCATCTGTAGGAAGTCAGCTTGTCAAGGAGATTTCAATTTGAGATCAGTTTTAACCACTTTAAGCACTTAACACGTTGTTTCAGAGAAACTGTGAAGAGAAGTGGAGATGAAACACCTATGAGAGCTACAGGACATACATAAAACTATAGGTTCTGAACTTCAAGTGGTTGATAGGTAAAGCCTGTGATGGTGGGAGCCTAAGTCGGTCAGTTCTGAATATATACCAGCACACATTTGTCACTCCAACCTTTGGGAAGGTTCTCAACTGCCGTGAGGCAGGTTTTTTCCACTATTCCGTTCCAAGTTTTAAAATAAGCAGTAGGGTTCTGAACCGGGGTGCTTTTAACTATAAACATCACTTAAAGACATACATGGCAAAAGCCAGAAAGACCTTCAAAACGAAACCAGATTTAAAAACCGCGGACTCGAAGCGCCCAGCAATGCTGTATTGAAAACGACAACAAAACACACGCAGGGGCGGTTTGAACACCTCCCCGCGCCGCATCACCGCGCGCAGGGAAGCGCCCGCCCGGAGCACGGGGCGACACGCGGCGATAGCGAAAGCGAAAGGCGGGAGGCGGCTGCCGACCCCCG